CGCCCCCGGGCTGGGAGCATGCCTCCCGCAGGCACCCCCCCCCCCCCCCTGCCCGCCTCGCCGATCGGCCAAGCATATCCCTGCCCCCGCTTCCCTCCCTCCGTCTTCCCTCCCTTCCCTCCTCCTGCCGCCTCCCCCCCCTCCCTCTCTCTCTCTCTCTCGGTCTCCCTCTCTCGTGCGCTCCCACACAGCATGGGTGCCACCGAAGAGTGTCATGCACTTTCGCCGTCATCACCGTCAGCACTTGCTCCGCCACCGCCCATGATTGCACCAGGCCCGATCTCGCCCGTCTCCTCGCGAGAGGCCATCGAGCAGCCGCTCAGCCCCCCCGACGATGCGGGGCCCGCCACCACCCAGGGCCCCACGCCGGTTGGAGGCGTCGCCGAGCCGCTGGCGCTCCCGCGAGGCGATCCCCACACCGCACCGGCCCCAGCATCGCATGTGTCACGCAGCTCGGCCGGGGCCGGTCGTCGGCCGCTGCCCTACAGCCCGCGCTTCATCACCATGAGCCGGATCCCCGGGCAGCCGGCAGACGCATCCCTGAGCCCGGCCGATTCGTCCAACGACGAGTCCTCCAGCATCGAGGTCAACCCCTCCGGCGGGCTGACACACATGGCCCTCAGCACTGAGGTGTCCTCCTCCGCCCCGGCCTCCACCTCCACCACCTCCCCCTCCTCCTCCTCCTCCTCCTCCTCCTCCTCGCGAGACACCCTGGACAGCCTGGTGGCGCCCCCGGCCCCGAACCCGACCATCATCATCAGCCGGCCCGACTTGCGGCCGCTGGCCCCGGTGGCCGAGGAGGGCCCATACCCCGGGGGTTCGGGCCCCCAGCGCCAGCCCTCCCCCGGGCCGGCAGGCTTCCCGGCCTCGGCCACCGGCGGGCCCGGGTCGGCCCCCCTCCGCGGCAAGTCCCTCACCAGCCTGCTGCAAGTGACGCCGGAGCGCCAGCGCCGCGCATCGGCCCCGTCCATCCCGCTGCCGGTCATCTCCCCCGGGGCGGTGACCATTCGCCGGGGGGCCCCGGGCCCGGGGGCCGGCATGTCAGGCCACCTGGCCGGGCCCTTCTCGCCGGCCTCCACCACCTCTTCGTCGCCCTCGGCGTCGCAGATCCTGACGGCCGGCACCCTGCCGATGGTGACGGCCGGGGGCTCGACCCCGGAGGGCCCCGCCTCCCGGTCGGCCAGCCTCCGGTCGGAGGCCTCGCTGCAGGATCTCCTTTCCCAGCCGGCCCCGAGGACGAAGCGCCCCTTCCCGCCCCCCTCCGAGCCGACCGCCAGACTGGGCGACCTCTTTGGCCTGGGGTCCTGGCTGCAGGCGTGCCTGTCGTCGCCGCGCCCGGCGGATGGACCCCCGGGCCCGGGGTCGAGGTTCGACCGGGCTTCCCGGCCGCCGGGCCCCTCGCCATCCGGGGCCTCCGGGCCGACGGTGGCCGGGCTGTGGCGCCTGCTGCTGGCCCCGGTGCTGCTGCTGCGGCAATGGGCCCTCTGGCTGGGGGACTTGCTGACGGCCCTGCTGGCCCGGCTGCGCGATGCCATCGGGGCGCTGCTGCTCCGGTGGATCGAGGAGGCGGACAACCGGCGTTTCCTGCGAACGGCCCCCCGGCGGATTTTGCTGGTCCGCCATGGGGAATCCGAGGCCAATGTCGACCCGTCGGTGTATTCCCGCACGCCGGACAGCCAGATCGGCCTGACCGAGCGCGGCCGGGAGCAGGCCCGCGCGGCCGGGGCCCGGCTCACGCGGCTTGTGCGCATGTACGACCGGATGGATGAGCGCCAGCAGGAGCACCCGGCCGGGTCGGCCGATGGCCGGCATCTGGGCCTCGGGTCCGGGCACAATGAGCTGCTCCTTTTCTACACCTCCCCCTATGAGCGCTGCAAGCAAACCCTGCAGGCTCTCCAGGAGGAGATCCCGCCCGAGTGGATGGACTTCTCGCCGCGGGTCATCGAGGACCCCCGGCTCCGGGAGCAGGATTGCGGCAATTTGCAGCCCCGGTCGGAGAAGGCCCAGCGGGCCCTGTGGGAGCGTCGCAGCCGCCTGGGGCGGTTCTTCTTCCGGTTCCCGGACGGCGGCGAGTCCGGGGCCGATGTCTTCGACCGGGTGTCGCTCTTCCTGGAGTCCTTGAATCGGCTGATGCGCCGGCGGGGGGCCGCCCGGCCGCGGACCATTGTCATTGTCTCGCACGGGCTGTCCATTCGTCTCTTCCTGATGCGCTACTACCGGTGGAGTGTGGAAAAGTTCGACCGGGCCGGGCAGCTGAAGAATGCCGGCATCGTGCACATGGAGCTCGTCAATGGCCGGTATGAGCTGATCCAGGGGGTGCCTCATGTGGACCCGGCGGCCGGCCTGGCAGGCGGGCAGCAGCAGCAGCAGCAGCAGCGCCACCAGACCGCGGTCGGGGAGCACGCACCGCCCGACTCGCCGATCGCCGGGCCGGATGAGTGCCCCCAATGTGGGGCTCCTGCCGGGCCGGATGGCGCGGAGTGCGAGTGCCCGCCGGATGGCGGGGCCGGTGACGGTGGTGCGGCCGTGGCCGCCAGTGCCCTCGAGCAGCAGCATTCGCTTCTGTCGGAGCATGGTCCCGGGGGTCCGATGGGCGGCGGGCTGGTGGCCCGGGCCGCCGGGGCTGGGTCCGGCATTGATCGGGTCCCCAGCATGGCCTCCATTCATGATGAGAATTCCCTGTACCCGCCGTTGCAAGAGCGCCCGGATGGCCCGGGCGACACCGATGAGGGGGACAACCTCCTGCGGACCTACTCGCTGGATACCGCCTGGTGGCGGACCCGATTGCCGGCGGCGGCCGGGGCGCTGGTGTCCCCGCGGCCGGGGCTCGGCCGGCGCCGGGGCCAGCCCTTCGCCTTTTCCGGGGGGGCTGGGTCCGGTGCTGGCGCCGGGTCGTCCGGCACGGGTGGGCTCCTGGGCCCGCATGGGGAATTCGCGCTCAGTGGGTCGGCCTCCGGGCCGCTGGCCCCGGGAGGCGGCAGCAGTGCCGTCGGCGGGATGGACGCCGGGTCGGGGCCGTTTGCCCGGCGACCGGCCAGCGGCCCGGGCCCCGGGCTTGTGCCCTACGCGGGGATCTTCAGCCGGCAGTCTCTGCGCAGTCCGACATCGACCGGGGGCGCGGCCCCGTCATCGAAGCAGGACTAGCATGGATGGCGCCTCGGTGCTGGCCACCCCCTTCTGTCCTTGTGTTACTGCCTTCTCTTTCATTTGTCCCCCTCCCCCCCTCTTCCTCTTTTCATGTATTCTAGCGTGATCCCCCCGGGGGTTCCTCCCCCCTTCTGCCAAGCTGGCTTGCTGACCCAACCCAATAGACGAGGCACGCATCTGGCGCGGGGATACACCGACGCCGATGCGCGCCCATGCACGCACCCACGCACACCCACGTACAACTGATGCTTCAGCCAGGGGGGGGGGGGGGGGGCGAGCTGACACTGCGCACGGGCCGGGGGCGCACATGGGAGCCCCGGGGCAGGAATGGCTGAGGTGCGAGCGCGCCTACGGCCCGCATGTGCAGAGCGTGGGTACAACGCTATGGAATGGGAATGTGCATGGGCTCGCCATGTGACGCGAGCGTGTCCCGGGGCTCCCATGGCAGAAATGTGCACACACGCACACGCACACAGGGCAGGGCAGGGCGGTGCGGGGATGACTTTGGGAGTGTGTTGATATTTTACAAATGGGGGATGAAAAGGCGTGTGTGTGTGTGTGGGTGTGGGTGTGGAAGGCAGCCGGCGCGGCGCGCTAGCTGCAACAGGCAGCAGGCATCACACTCCGGTGCCCAGTCTAGGTCGGGGAGGCCGCCACAGGGGAGGGGGAGCAAGGGAGAGAGGGGAGGGAGGTAGCAGGGCAGCGGGGGAGGGAGGGGAGGACGAGAGAGGGAGAGCGAGAGAGCGAGAGAGAGGGAACACATCGGGGGGAAAGCAGAGACAGGCACACGGCCACGCGGCCACGCGCGCGCATGTGGCCCGGCGCCATGGGAGAGGGCCGCACAGGCGCGTGCACGTGCGCGAGTGGCCTTGCTCCTTGGCGCGTCGCTCTCCCGGCGGCGGCGGCGGCGGCGGCGGCGTCGCGCCCTCGCTCGCGGTGGTCTTTGCCGGCGTGAGTCCTCTCCCCCCTCCTCGCGCCGCTCTCGCCCGGCCGATCCGATCGCCGGGGCCCCGGTGGTGTCACATCATGCATGCACAGTGTATGCCCCGCTGGCGGCGCGGGGAACAAAGGGGCCGGCCGCGCTGGCCGGCTCGCTACTGCGGCGGCCTGACGAAGTCCCCGCGAGCCACCTCCGACATGAAGGCCTCGTCATTCTTGACCAGCTCGCTGAACTTCTCCCGGTCGAAGGCGGTCTGCACGAGGCCGGCATCGGCCGGCCGGCCGACCGGCCGAGGCGAGGCAGGGCCACCGCCACATAGGTCGGCCTGGCCCGACGGGTGCTGCTGTGCCGGCGACGGCGGCGGCGGCGGCTGGTCGGCGGCCGGGCGAACCAGCAAGTCATCGGCCATCTGGTCGATGGCCACCACGCTCATGCACGTCTGGACAAAGGCATCGATCAGGTCATCCAGGTCCAGGCCCAGGGTGGGGAAGTGCTCCTCGTCGGCGGTGATCAGCCGGTGGGTGGCCGTGGTCCAGGTGCCATCGGGGCGCTTCTCGCTGAGGTTGGTGCCCAGCATGTCCCAGCTGGTGGCCGAGGCCTTGTCCAGGTTGGCCTCCAGCGGGGCCGCCGCACGCCGGGCATAGATGGCCATCGGCCGGAAGATCATGCGGTTGGGGTTGGCCGCGGTGGCGGCCTCATCCTCCAGCAGGGTGAAGGGGTCGTCGGGGTCGGCGTCCGGGCCGCCGCGCGGCCGCAAGTCCGCCGCCACCATCATGCGCAGGTCCGCCACATAGAAGGGCTCATCCGAGGAGGGGTCGCCATCGGCATTGTCCCCCAGGCACCGGCGGTTTTGGTGATACACGCGCTCCATCTGCTGGGTGACGGTGGTCGAGTGCGAGGTCTTGGTGGTGGTGGGGATGGCCGAGACGGCGGCCATGGCCGCGGCCATGGCCGCCGACTGCTGCGAATCGGCCGCCAGCTCCACATTCCCCGGGTACACGATGGCCGGCGCCCCGGGCAGGAGGGACGTCGTCTGGCCGGGCAGCAGGTCACCGAAGGCCGCCGACCCGGCGGCGGCGGCGGCGGCGGCGGCCCCGGTCGGCGAGAGCACAGCCCCGGGGGCCGTGGCATGAGGGGCGGCACCGGCCACCACGCCAAGCCCCCCCCCGGAAGAGGAGGACCCCGACGCCGAGGCGGTGGTCTCGTCGGCGCCCGGGGCCGGACCGCCGGCCGTGGACAGGGTCGCCAGCGGCGGGACCACCGACGCCGCCGGGGCCGGGGGCAGGCTCAGCGCCCCCGACCAGTCCCGGTGGCCGATCAGGCGCTGGACCACATAGCGGTCATAGCTGCCGCCGGGGCCGCCGGCGGCACTGGCCTTGGCTCGCTCCTCGGCCAGGAAGGCCTGCAAGTCCGCGTCATTGGTGATGGTGTAGATCCCCTGGCCGGCATTGGCGTAGGGCACCTTGACCACGGCGTGGCCTTGGAGATTGCGCACCCTCATCTCCACCTCATCCAGGGTGATGCTGGGCCAGGTGGCCGGGGCGCGGATTTGCAGCCCCGACCGGCGGTGCTGATCATTGGCATTGAAGGCGCCATAGGCATAGGCGGCGATGGCCTTGTTCCGGCCGCCGGCCAGGCAGGCCAGCACCGGGTTCAGGACCAGGGTCCCGCCGGCCACCGGGGTGGCGGGCAGCCGGTTCCACGGGCGCTGGGTCACATACCGGAAGGCCGCGCGCAGGGGATGCCAAGTGGTCGGGCCCTCGCGCACCCAGATAACCCCCTGGGCGTCGCGCCGGACCAGCGGGCTCCGGGCAAAGTCCACCGGGCCCTCGGCCGGGACATCGTGCTGGGTCCACTCGGCCCAGAGGACCGGCTCGCCGCTGGCCCGGGCCAAGGCATGGGCATATGCCCGGGCCTCCATCGGGTTCTTGTCGTACAGAACCGCCAGCCGGCCGGAGGCCAGCTCCGGATGCCGGCGCGTGTGGCGCTTGATCAGCGGCATGAAGGTGTCCCGGGCGATGCGCATGTACCCACCGAGCATGGCATCCGGCCCGGTGGCCGGGGGGGCGGCGTCGGCGGGCTCGGCGGCCCGGGTGGCCGCATTGGTGGCCGGGTCCGGCCCGGCGGCGGCCAGGCCCGCGTGCACGGCCCACGGCATGGACTTGACACCGCTGGGACAGGAGTTGGTTTCGATGATGATCATCTGCCGGCCGCGGCGGAGCTCCACCGTGGTCGAGCACTCGGTCACCGTGCGGGTGGTGGCCATCAGCGGCATGGCGCTCTTGCTGGCGAGCGCATGCGACACCGGCCCCTCGCCGGCGCCATCGCAGGCGGCACCGCCACATCCGGCGCAGGAGCCGGCTGACGGGGCCGGGGCCGGGGCCGGGACCGGGGCCGAGGCCGACGACGAGACGGCCCCCTCGACCGAGGCCAGGGCCACGGCGGCCACCTCGTCGCCGGTCAGGTCCGACACCTGGCCCGAGGCGATGGACGTCGTGCGGACCGTGGTCGAAGAGGTGACCATGCCGCCGGCCGGGTCGTTGGTGGTCTCGGTGGAGGCCTCGGTTTGGGTGGTGGCGCCGCCGTCATCGGCCGCCGGCAGGTGCTCGGGAACCGCGTCGGTGGCATCCACCGGGGCCACCACCGTGGTGGTGACCGTCGTGGTGGAGGTCTCCTCCAGGGCGTGCTCCACGCAGAAGAGATCCGACCCGGCCCAGCAGAAGTGCCGCGGCAGGTAGGCCAGCACCCGGCGGCGGAGCTCCTCCGGGCAGACCCCCTCATGGCGGGCGGCGTACCGGGCGGCGATCTCCCGCGCCGGCAGCCCCAGGAACTCCACCACCAGCGGGTGCGTGCGCGGCACCTCGATCATGGCCTCGTCCGGCAGGCCGGCCTCGGCCTGGTCCAGGAACTTCTGCTTGGTCACCACCTTCGGGTAGTAGAACATGCTGGCGGTGACCGGGTCCTCGGGGTGGATGACCATGGCGCCGGGGGCGTCAGCGGGGACTGGCGCCGCGCCGGGCAGGTGCTCGGCCGTCGGCGGCTGGCGCGCGCTCAGGGGGATGGCAGCAGAGGGGGACATGGCTTGGGGGGGGGCTGTGTGCGTGTGCGTGTGTGTGTGTGTGTGTGTGTGTGCGTGTGCGTGTGCGTGTGCGTGTGTGTGTGTGTGTGTGCGTGTGCGTGTGCGTGTGCGTGTGTGTGTGCACGAGACAGTGATAGTGGTGGGGGTGTCAGAGAGGCACACACGACAAGGGGGCAGGTGTATGTGCGGGGGGGGGGATCCCAGACAGCGCCCGGCGGGAGGACGCACAAATAAGGTGCCGGACAGGAGGGGGGAGATGTGCCTGCGTGTGTTTCCGGTGTGACACGCTGCTGCGGCAGGGAGCACGACGATGCGTCGGCCGTGTGTCGGGGAGGGGGGGAGAGAGCGTGCGCGGATGCGGCGGTCCGGTCTCGGGGATCGGCGACGCGCGGGGGGCGTGTGCGGGCGTGTGTGGGGGTGGGGGTGTTCTTTCGGGTCGCTTCTCTTGAGGGAGAGGAGCGGAGCGCGAGCGTGTCAGGGGGGAGGGGGCCGTACTTGGGGGCTGCCAGCACGGGGGTGCCCCAAGTACCCCCCCCCCCTCCCCTCCGCCCGCTCCGCCCGCTCCGCCCGCTCCGCCCGCTCCGCCCGCTCCGCCTG